TGTATGTAACACTAAGCTAACTGCCCACAAGGAGTAATGGGGGGCGGGGGTGAAATCAGAGATCCTTGCTTAATGGCAGGCCTCTCAACAGTCCTGATTTTGGGGTCCTCTTCTGCTTAGTTCCCTGATGTCCCACATCTGACTAGGACCGTGCATGGAGAATTTCATCAGCTCACCCTGCATGGTCCTGAGGACTGGGGGCCGGCCAGGTAGGCTATCAGTCGACGGGCGTCACTGGCAACACTCCTTCAGGCCCGGGCCCACTCATCCCGATTCTTCCCTACCACTTTTTGGGAGGCATGCAATGGCAAAGACCTATTGGTCAACCTATTGCTGCTACTGTGTTGCATATTCATTCATCTGATAAATTCTAAATGAAAAAAAAAATCAATAAATGTATTATAGCTGCAAAGATATATATATATATATATATATATATATAATTAATACAATGTTAAACAAAAATATGCACACCAGTCAAGCCATAAGACTTGCTTTTCCCACAGAAATCCCATAACTGCAGCGATGTTACAATCGCAAAGGATTCTGGGTGGGCATATGCAAATTAGTTTAACAAAGAATCACATTTTTGCCTCATTCCATTTTTCAATCACAATTTTTCCCCACCATAACCTATTTGGATTTTGCTTCCCAAGCAATACCAAGCCTCAGTAAGCAAACCAGTAACCAACCTCATGCTGACGAGTTGCATTAACAACAAAACAGCTGTCCATGAGTGGTTCACTGGTTTTGCATCTTTTCCTATATTGTGTTTCAAGCTGTTGTATACAGCAAACACAGATTAAAAGGAATCCATGTTTAAAATGGAATGAGGCAAAAATGCGATTCTTTGTGAAACTAATTTGCATATGCCCACCCAGAATCCTTTGCGGTTGTAACATCGCTGCAGTTATGGGATTTCTGTGGGAAAAGCAAGTCTTATGGCTTGACTGGTGTGCAGATTTTTGTTTAACATTGTATTAATTATCCACAGACTTCAGGTGGAAGGGGTTTTCAATCACAATTTTTCCCCACCTTAACTCTTTTCTAGTGGACTACATCTGCATATTCATAGAATGAGAAATATTTTTATAGTTACATTCCTATCATTCCTGGTGAGATTTAATCTTATTTGGTGCATTTAAGCATGCAAGAGGGTATTTACTAATGGTGAGTAAAAGTACTAATTGACATGGATTGTTCTAATCATTTTTTAAAGTCTAAGTTAATATTCATGTCAATATTAATTTATGAATATTATTAGTTATTGTATAATATTATTCCACAGAATCATTAAAGGACATTTCATTTTCTTTCTATTATTACTTATATACTAGAAGGGGAGGCAGGTGTCTCCTAATTTACAAAAAATGTTGCACATAGAATCAAACGTATACTTTATTATATGCAATAAAAATGAATATACAGTGAAACAAACAATCAACGTCTAAAATGTATTTACAGCCTAAATAATGATGAACAATAAAGCTGTTGTGTCAGGATAACTTGTATAAGAAATACATTTAACAGAAAACAAATCACTGAAATATTTATTGAGGCAGCTCTGTTATTAAAGAAACTCTATTGCTTATATGTATTCCTAACTTTATAGTGCCTAGTCAATGTTTAGGTGATAGGCAAACGCTGCCAGAGTTATAAAAGGTGATTTGCTTGCCTATTTACAATTTAGACCTCGCTGTGCCAGTCTCCTCCATAAAGCACCACCTCTTTGGCTGTGATCATCAATATTGAAGATCTCAGCCATTCCAATGCATTCCCATAGGAAAGCCCATGGCCGTCTTTAATATTGACTGGACCCTGGGCAAGCATTTGCTTGGGCCACCTGGACCCTGCCCTTCCACCCACTCCTTGGCATGTGACCATGCACTCCACCCCAATGCAGTGGGGGAACTAAAGTAGAAAGAGCCCTGGTGAAATAATTTTTTGCCCCTCCACCCCCCCTGCCCCCCAATCTCAAGGTTGGCCAATAGGTAAATCCCTATCGCTACCATTTCCCCAGGGTTATATTTAGCACTGAGCCGTGTTTGTATGTTTGAATGTAAGTATGTTTTAGTATGGAGTATGTTTGTGTGAATGTAGAGGTGTGTTTGTATGTGGGGTTGGAGTGTGAATGCAAGCATGCATTTATGTGTAGTGGTTGTTTTTTTAATGTAGTGGTGTGTTTATATATAAGTTTGGTGTTTAACACAGAGGTGTGTTTGTATGTAATGTTGAAATTTGAATGCAGGGGTGTATTTGTATGTAGTGTTGGTGTTTGAATGCTGAAATATATGCACATGTACACATACACTGCCACACACACACTGTGATGCACATAAACACACTGAAAGACATGCAGATACACAGATATACACACATGCAGATATACAGACACATATATAGATATACACACACTGACACATGCATATACATAGATTTACACACATGCAGATGTAAAACACATATACACACACATTGACACATTCAGATACAAACACACAGACTGACGCAGATACAGACACACCAATACACATATAAACAGGTACACACTGACACACACTGACTACATACATACAAAGAGATACACATACTGACTACATACGGATATACAGAAAAATATATAAACATACACATACATATGTACAATTTAGATTTTTAATCTACCATCTACCTTTTGCTGGAGGGTAGCTTTCCTGACATATCTGGGCTTTATCCTTTTAAAAGCTAGTTTTGTGAGAACATTGAAATATGTATTATACTGTTCTAGTTCTATTTTATATAATTTGTTTTATGTTTCTATTCTACGTTACAGAATTATCTGAGATATTTCCACATGGAAGAAAAAACTATTGTATTTTGAGCTATTTTTGTGAACAATTAATATTTTAATGGAGATTAATTTATCTTACAGTTTTATCCTTCGTTAGCTTAATGTGTTGCCGTATATCATTTTTAAGATGTAATAATCCCTCTAAATTTTCCCAACAGTGAAATGCAGTGAAAAAAAAAAAAAAATGTTTACAGCCTAATGCCTCCATATTCATAAGTGTAAGAATTTCATAAACTGCAGATAAGGCTTCAAGCTAAGGCTTAGATTTACACTTGTATATGTTTTATAAAGGAAAAATCAGATTGTAAAATAGACACAAATCGTTGAAAAATCTGTGAAGTAGGTCAAACAGGCATGTTTGTCTCCTGCCACAGATTAAGTTTAATGTATCCTTTCAACAATACATGTCTATTGCTCTAAATTCTAGTGATCTAATGGAGGTGAGGTGGCTTTGTGAATTATAGGACTATAACTTGCGTTCATTCCCGATTAAAATATATGTAATTCATAGCAGTGATAAAGTATATTCACAGAAATGTTTTATTAGTCGTTCCTATTCTACAGATTTTAAGTACCATCTTTTCCATTTGTGATTTGTCTAATCTGCCACAATGTCTGTTGTTAAAGGGACACTCCAGGCACCCAGACCCCTTGTGCCCATTGTAGTGGTGCGGGTGCCAACTACCACCACCCATAACCCTGCAAGTGTAATTATTGCAGTTTTTTATAAACTGCAATAATTACCTTGCAGAGTTAACTCCACCTCAAGTGGCTGTCTACTAAACAGCCACTAGAGGGCACTTCCCGCATCATAGCACAGGAAACCTGTGCTAGAGCGTCGCTGGACGTCCTCACGCTATGTGAGGACCTCCAGCGTCGCTCATTTTCCCCATAGGAAAGCATTGAAAAGCATTTTCAATGCTTTCCTATGGGGAGCTCTAATGCGCATTGCCGCACATGCGCATTAGGTTTCCCCGGCCGGTGTGACGCAATGCAGAGGAGGAGCAGCGGCGGAGGAAGAAGCAGCGACATGGGACATGTCGCTGCCTCTGGTAAGTGACTGAAGGGGTTTTTACCCCTTCAGCAACCGGGGATGGGAGGTGGGAGGGAGAGGGGACCTGCAGTGCCAGGAAAACGGATTGTTTTCCTGGCACTGGAGTTTTACTTTAAGCGTTTTATATTTGTATTGAGGATGGATGGCTGTCAACCATCAAAATCCATTTCCGCTATTACTTAAGTAAATGTTCATTACATTAAAGGGTCACTTCCAGTATCATAAAAACGAAAACTGCACAGGATTGATATAAGCCACCCCAGAACTCTAATTCCCTTGGTTGCTGATGATTCCCCTATGATGCGGCTAGAAGTGGAGCTACACCACCTCCAGCACCAGAGGGGTTAATTTCTGAATTGCAACATTTCAAAGTGAAACACTGCAGATTCCAGGCACACATGCAGATTCCGGGCACCATGACCACTTCAAGTCACTGGAGTGGTCATGGTGCTTTCATTAAACCTTTAACAAGAAACAACTATTCAGATATTTACAACAATGAAAGTATGCCAGTAACAAGTTTAAAATAATATGACTAATATTAGGGTGTTTTTTTTTTAAAGGAACACCCAGGGCACCATAACCACTACAGCCACGACTTCCAATCTATCCCTTTAGGAGAGTCCAGTTAGCTCTACAGAGCTAAGCAGAACCATGTAGGACTGTGCTCACAGGCTGAGAATGTTCTTTTTTTTTTTACAATTCTTTATTTTTGTAGTGCATAGTTCTTGGTACAGGAATTCAAAGACATTGTGAATGGTAGCATTAGAAGGAGAAAATCAGAGGGTTAAGACATGTCAAAAACACTGCACTTTTTTTAATCAATCAATTACATGCAAATAAACAATATCTCTTCAAATCAAGCATGGTTTCAATGTGTGGGAGTCGCTAATATTGCGATGGAATTGCACAGGTTTTTTATGAAACATGTGAGCTTCAAAGCGCTGGCACTTACTCAAGAAAACAGTTAAGATAAAATAAAATAAGTGAGACACTAAAGTATGTTCATAAATTGACCCCTAGGAAGGGATCTGGTATGGTAAGTCTAATGGATGTTTTGGGGTATCCCTGCTTTTACGTTTATCCCGATATGAGGGATGTGCTTAGAGCAGCCAGTGAAGGAATATTGACCCCTTAAGGACACATGACATGTCATGATTCCCTTTTATTCCAGAAATCTGGTCCTTAAGGGGTTAAACAATTAATCTGTCAGTATTTCAGAACTGCTTGCAAAACATAACTGAAAGGAAGTCACAAGCTATGACAGTTTCTATGTATCAGGAAATGCCTAACCACAATGTATATGTAATATTTTGTAAGATTAGATTATTGAATGTAACAGCAGAAACTGCTTCCTCTTTTATGTATCTTGTGTAACCTTTTTGTAACCTTTTTGTAACCTTTTGTAACCAATATTCGTGACAAATATTGTATAAATACAGAGCATTTTGAATACATTGTCAGAAGATTATGGAAAGCAAAGAGTGTGTGTCTGGTTAATACGCTTCCATAAAAATCTTCCCTGAATATTCAGCTGACAATCGAGGGTTGGAGAATAGTGACCAGAGGGACCGAGTCACCAGAGTAGCAGATTTACCTTTCAGCTTGGTGTCAGAAAGTGGGATTGTAGCCAAAACCATTTTGGGTGAGTAGTAATTCCTTGTGTCTATCTTGACGCCCTGAATCTATGATCCCCATGGTTTTGTAAGTCTACATCATTTTAGGAAAGGTTATTTAGTATATGTGTTTTCTGTGACTCAGTTTTACATAAGGTCCCGTTAAATTAGTCTAGTAAGGGAACTAGACAGAGAGATATATGTATTTCTAGTAAGTGAACTAGAGAAGGTCTAATAAGAGAATTAGACAGATAAAAGGAAGTCTATAAAGTGATATAGACAGAGAATTTAGTATATAAGTGAATATACTACGATAGTGTGCACAGAGTTTCAGGTTCACCTTGTCCACCCTCTAACTGTCATTAGTTAAGTCTGGTTGTGAGTGTGAATAAGTGTTTGAAAGATTTGTCCTAGGAATGGGAAATTACCATGCAAGAATATAAAGTAGTTAACTTTTCTTGTTCATATGTATTTTATGCTTAAATAAGGTTTATAATCATTAAGTACTGACTGTAAGGATATGAAATAGTTAAACTCTTTTTGCTTTATATGCTAGCCCTGAAAATATACTCACTGAGAATCTTGTTAAAGCACATTTGTAGTGTCCATGTCTTTATTGCAAACAATGATTCTCCATCAATTGGGTGATTGTTTATACTGGGGACACACTTTGGTAAGTTAGTAGTGTGTCCACCCTGAGTCAGCAGTATGGGAAATGTAAGTTCTGGTCCTGAGTGACCAATATATATACATATATATATGATAGCAGTACTGTATATTAGACAAGAACTGACTCGCAGGTTGTACCTAATAGACCTACTTAAATCTTTTGTTTTATTCTTTCTGTTGCATAGAAGTATAAGTTTATTACTCTGTTTTATTGCAAGTTATTTCACATGGGATCTGTGTGCCTGGTATGATTGTTACTTTAATACCATAAGCCCACTACACTTTCTATGAGAGTGGGATAGTGTAAATGTGTTACATTGTTTGCATGATGAGCTCAGTATTTTTATAACTGAGACAAAAAGTCATTTCATTAGTATTTGAAAGTTAATTCCCCATATGGGATTGATTGTATAGAAACACCAATCAGCACATCTTCCCTGCCCTGTGTGTTTGTTGCAAAGGATCCATACCGTTAATATGATTTTTGTTTGTAAATAAGAGCAACATTTACATTTTCAGCGGTCCAACACATGCTTCATTTTGCGCTGTAAACTAACCTTTTTATTGCAACAGATTCCTTTTAAATGATCCAGTGTAATAACTACTGCATATGTTTTGTGTCTTCTATGTCTCACATTATATGTGTTCTGTTCTTTTAAATTGTGGTATATAGCCTGGATCAGAGATTATGGACAAAGGTTTCTACCTGTTTTACTAAGGCTCTTGGAGACTGACCGGTCTAAGGTTTGCCATGCCTTTTAAACATGGTATAGAATAATTTTTTTTAAGTCTCTGAGAGTTCTGTAAGATTCTGGTGAAACCATGTCTGTGTAATCTGGTCCAAATGTTTGCTCAATTTCTATAAGATTTAAGTTGATGCAGTATCATCTCAGATTAGTTAATGGAAGTTTCATACAAATATTTGAGTTATGAGCGCGCTATATAAATGCATCCTTTCTCTATATACAATACTATAGTAGATTAAAGTAATGAAGTTAATAAGAATTAAAAAAAAAAAAAAGTATACATAAGAATCCCTAAAATAAATCTAATATAAACTAAAATTGGTATACCTTACAATAATATGTTCTGAGTACAGCTGTTAACTGTTTATTCTGTGTAAATGGTGATTGTGATAATGTGTGAAGTGTGCAGCTTACCTGGAAAGTGGTTTAATTTATATGTTGCTGTGTTGTTTTAAATTATATGTGAATCAGTTTGTCTCAGTTTAGTGATACTGATACAAATGCCAGCCAAATAACCCAGCAAATAACGGTTTTATTAGCTGTTGAATACTAGCATTCTGGCCAAGAATAGTTGGAGTAGTTCTATGAGCTCAGAGAGGCTCTGTGTTGTGGTCTGATATAGCTATATGGGAATGGAGATTTGGAGGTGTTAGTTTAAGACTGCTTTCATATTGTGTCTACCCGTGTTTCCTAGGAGGGACACAGAGTGTGTAGTTGTGTGCTCATGAATGTGTTTTCTGTATTGGCATATCTGTTGGGTACCCGATACGTGTATCTACTACGTCTGTTTTGTGAGATGTCTGTTTTGTGAGATGACATGTAATATTACATTGAATGCTGAGTATGAGTTATATGGTTTGAAATGAATTGGTGTGTTATGTGTTTTATGTATTTTATTGTCCATTGTGTAGGAGTTTAACTAGCAGAGTGATTTGCATATCATTAACACAAGCATTTAGTGTTTTTACAAAAGGTGAAATGCTGTCCAGCCGGCTAGAATGAAACAATTGTATGCTATCGCTCCTGGAGCAAGAAAAGCGCTTGTTACATCCCACGTGAAAGGGGCCCCGTAAACTTCTGCTGTTCAAATCGTGGCTCCACATTTCCATTTGCAAACTGATTAATCCTGAAAGTCATTCTTTTACTGATAAAAAGGATTGAATGGACAAGATGTCTCTCCCTCATAAAGGAGTTCTAATAGGGGAGTATTGTCCAGCTCAGAGTTAACTCTACTTTTAAAGTATATTGCATTGTTTGTGTCAAAGTAAGATTCATCTAGTATGCCACCTTGATTATGGGGTAATAATAAAATGGTATTTTAATGGAGATTAGACAATTTCTGAAATTTATAAGTGAGGTAATTTTAATCTCCTAAACTACTG